TTCTACCAAATTATTTGTAATATCAATATATTATATTAATATTTAACTTACATTGGAAAGGTTTCCGTGACCTCTCGCGAGATCTCGGCAAAAAGTCTCACGATTTATTTCCAGAACATGATGCATGATGGGATACACTAAGCCTCGAATAGCGCTCCGGAGTGTGGATTTAGTGTGCGTTAAGGGCACTGCGCTTTGGTATTTTTAAAACCTGGGACAGTCTTGCACACTTGCTTCCTGTCGCTCGCACGCGCTCTCAAGTGACCAAGACCACAAGTGTGGGTATTTGGACAAGGGGACAGAGACTCAAGAAACAGTCAGGGATCGTGACACATTTACAGTTTGCACATTCATTTGAGGCAGAAATAAGAAGAATCCTACCATGTTCGTCGTTCATTATCCTGAAACTAGGTGCAATATCTCTGTCGCCGAACTCTTCAGCATGATTCACAAGAGCTTCTTTGACGGTTTGGTATCCAACTAAGATCACAGTTTTTTTGGGACCCAAAAACACTTGGAATATGTTCCCGTAGCTTTTAGAGAGCTGGAGGACGCAGAGAAAGACATTCACAAACAAATCACGAAATGTTAGGCTACTATTACTGTCTGAATGTGTTCAAGTCAAGTTCTCACCTCAAAAAAGGTGTCAAAGGGTCTCGTGAGGTCAATTGTCAGCAGGTTCCCCAACAGCGGCAGTGGTTTGGGTCCCGGTGGCTCTTTCCCTTCTTTCTGAGATTTGGATCCAGAGGAAAGCAAATACAAAACCAGAAGCATCAGCAACGCTCCCAGTAATGTACCTGTGCTGGAAAACTGCAGCAGTGACTCGACAACAGACATTTTCTCTCTGAGGCACTCTCCTCAACTGAAGCACTCACACATTTATAGCCGCTGTGTAAGGGAGGGTCCTAAACCTAATTTTTTTTGGAAATCCATGAGAAGAAAGGGTTGGTGCGATTAGCATGTACTGTATGTGTCATGCTGTGATGAATCGGCAATCTTCATTAGCATGCTAAAAACAGGACAGGAATGTATAACATACAACATAATATAACAAGCCATAAAAGCAGAAGTTTAGGTTCAACACAATCTTTGCACCAATATAATTGCATGCTTTTTGGTTTATACATGCATTAAATATTGTGATATCGTCTACAACTGACAATAACCAGCACATAATGAGCACGTCTGAACTATGACACACAGAGATCTGTGACCTTTATTAAACTTAAACCCTGCGTAACCTCTCGCCTACCTTATGTGTTCAGATTAGATCTTCACTCTAATCAAAAATGTACAAATTGTTATGAGCTCCATTATTCATTTTGTATGTATTATAAACTTTATAAGAATTTAATCAGACACACACACAAATCATCAGTGTTTTTGGATGAGTATTAAAACCAAATGTAAGGATGGATTTGACCAAAACTGAATTCAAGATTCCTATCCTGTAATCAAACAATAAAACTCACTAATCTGGAGAGAGGATCTACAGCTGGCCCAATCTCATCCCCCCCACCCATGCTGAGTTCCTGACTCCTCGCACCCTCTCCTTCCCCTCAGGTCTCAGTCAGTCATGCAAATTTCACAAATCCATCGTTTCAAGCTGTTTCATGTGTGGTCAATATACTGTAAATACTTCAGGTGCGACTGGAAGGTGGTTTCACTCTCGCATCAGCAGAACAGGCAAGAATAAAGAAAACAAAACCTGTTCTTCTGGTGTGGGAGATGCCCCAATAAAGATCTTTGATAACATTTGCTTTCATCCCCAAAACTAGGTGTGTGACCTTTTGGGTTACGAGATCCTAACAAACCAAAAGGTCTTTTATGCTTTTACAACTGATTTGAAGATTTCTTTGTTCTGGTTTGGGTATAGCCTATAAGCGAAGTGGCAAAACACTGCTTTGGAATTCTGTAACCAGAAAACCCCGACACAGTGTGTGTGTGTGTGAGTCTCTGGAGCTCTGCACTAGAACTCTCACATGCTGCTGTGTGTCTCACTGCTGTCAGGTATGCATCTCTCACTCTTAAGATTCATCTTTGAGCAATTGATGTTATGTATTTATCTGAATTGGAACTGAATGTAACTCTAAATTGGATTCTCATTGTTTAATTATGTAATTGGCACATTTTGTATTAAAGGTGACATATCATGAAAATGTCATGAAAAGACTTTTCCAGGTTTTAAGTGCTATAATCAGGTCCCCGGTGCATCTACCAACCAAGGAAACGTGAAAAAGATTAACCCAGTAACTTTGTTTTGGTAAGACTTTTTCTGCAAGCGTCTGAAAAAAACAACGCGTCTGATTTCGCTCCCTTGGTGACGTAGCAAAGGGATCTCATTATAATATTACCGCCCCTTAATCTGTAAGTTTACACCCATGGCGCCGTCATTTGATTTCGCAAGCGACAACGGTGTACCAGCTCTAATGCCATGGCGAAAGTTTGAGCAAAACATGCTAACTGTTCTGTCTTTGGCTGCACAGACGAGCACAGAACACTATTTAGAGTCCCAGCCTCAGAGGAGACAAGAGAGCAGTGGATTTATTGATTTATTTACTGTATATTGTTCTGCTGCCACATAGATCTAAAATAAACAAGCGATTTATTTCCCAGCTGTTTACTTTCACAGACATAACCGACATTGTAACTCGTGTGTTTTTAACTTAAACTTAGTACTCACATGCTGTGACAGCCGCTTTCTGTCCGTGTGCTTCGGATGTGTGCGCACAGAGAACCTTATATATGAAGTTTAAACTCTTATGGTTTAAAACGCATGATTTCAGCACGATAAACATGATAATCAGAACCAAAACAGATGTTTTTAGCAGATACGAGCTGTAATGGCACAGCTCTATTCTGGAAAAGGGAGCGGGGAGTAGCAGCTCATTTGCATTTAAAGACAGGCCTGAAAAACAGCTTCTGCTTCCACTCAAAATAGGCATTTTCAAAATGATATAATAAATGATCTGTGGAGTATTTTGAGCTGAAACACACAGACAGTGTGTCACAGACACATTTTGGGGACACCAGAGACTTATATTACATATTGTAAAAAGGGGCATAATATGTCACCTTTTGTATTAAGATTATAATTTTCAGAATTAAACATACAGTAAATAGGCTATCATATTCTATTTGACATTAGGCTGACGTCACATTCCGTGATAATGTGCTTTATATTCAAATTGTCAGGTTATATCTGCATTCTGAGCCGTTTCGGGAAATTGAGCTTCAAAGTTTTTTCATTCCATATAGTGATATGGGGAACAAGTTTCTTTCATACATCAGTCCCAAAATGTACACAACTTTAAAAAAACAAACAAACAAACATCATCACCTAATATAAATAAGTTGTCACAGAATAGCAATATGTGAAAAAATCAATTTTGACAAAAATGGCAGATAGAACCTTATAATTCCAGTGTGACGAAATGTTCGACCAGACTATCGAACTATCAGACGATCAAATTACATTTCTCAATTTTATATATTATATATAATTACACACGCACAAATTATGTTAGCACAAAGTTCATGAGTGCATCTCTCATCTCACCTCTGACACACCTGGAGTGACTTCAGACCGGCTTTCACAGACCTGATTAGGCAATGTAGCATTTCATCTAAAAAATGATTCACCTTCTTAGCAGAAAACACTTGCAGTATCTTTTGAAATGTACAACAAAAGTTGTACATGCAATCTAACTCTACTTCGGTGCAAACTCATCCGTCACATAATAGAAGCAAGACAAATTAGATAGATGTCAAAGTGGACAGCTTGTGTAACGCATATTCTTAAAAACCATTAATACAGCTGATTCCGCCAGGGGATGCTAAAAATAAAAAGGTAATTATGAGGTAATTACTTTTTTTCTTGCAATTCCGAGTCTACATCTTGCAATTATGAGCTTTTTTCTCTGAATTCAGAGTTATGTCGCAATTCACTTTTTTCCCTGACTTTTTATCTCACATTTCTGACTTGTTTCTCGCTTCAAGTTTATATCTCACGATTCTGCATTTATATCTTGCCATTCTGACTATTTTTCAGAATTGCAAGTAAAAAAAATTCCAAAATGTGAGAAAAACTCAGAATTGCGAGAAAAGGTTCTTATTATTTTTTTACATATTTACAAACCAAATACTCAAACTATAATGACAAATGTAACAATTTTTACTATTTTGCCTGTCATGTTAATCCTTTTGCATTGATCTGATGTTCATGCTCTTTAAACAAACAGTAAGCAACCGTTGGAACTGTAAATGGCAAAAACCTAGAGTGAGCAGAGGCCGGAGGGCTAGAGTGAGCGGAGGCGGCAGGCTTTAGAACTGCGCGGTCGGCGGATTCGACGAAGGAGCGTCCGGCGGGCTTGCGGCAACCACATGTGATGACCCCGCGCTGGACTCCGCTTCGTCCACGGTGAAAGCCAATCCGGCGATCCACAGCGCAAAGTTTATGTATTTCCTCAGCGACCAGCACGGATCAGCTCCAGGCATGACGAAGCAGATATCGTCCTCTTTTGGAAGACCAAACAAAGTAGTTTCGCTTTCACAACGAAACACAGCGTCTCCACGACATGGCGGCGGCGGCAACAACAATACTACAGCGAGAATAAACGTTATGACTTCTCTTTGCGAGAACATTTGGGTGGCGTTATGCAAATCTTCCCACATCGTGAGGTAGACATGTGGGGGCGTGTTAGAACGAGCTGTTTTAGGTAGGTGTGGTTGACTCTTAACTTTTATAAAGAATATCTCTTTGGATTTGAGACTTTAGTCTTTGCAACTTTACAGATCTTCTTTATGCACCAAGAGATTGTAACACTCCAAAGAGAAAGGAAAAATTTAAATCGCATCATATGACCCCTTTAAATAATTTTACAGATGTAATTATCACTTCTGGTTTATCTGTCACACTGGAAAAGGATGGTCAAGTCCTGTGCATTGCATTGTGAGAAACTCACAATTTGGTCAGTCTGGGTATATTATAAACAGAGAGCATTTGCATACTGTCTGCAGTACACATACTGCAGAAATAGTAGTATGCTATTCGGATCATCACAATGTTTAGACTGCATGTGTTAGAGACGTACCTGTGCCCAGGTGAGAGTTTTGTCAGTCAGGTGATAGTGGACCATTCCCTGGTGTTCATCCTTCAGTAAACTTCCTGCGAGAGCCATCAGGTGAAAGTTATAAAAACCGTCAAACTATCCAGTGGATATACAAAGCAGGTCATTTAAATACCTGGAAAGGTGCTTTCAATGAAGTCTTTGAAGAGCTGAAGGTCCATCTCCTCTAACTCCGTGACCACGCGGACCTTCGCCAGCAGCGTGTAACCGCTACCAAACTTGCTCTTCAGGTGCTGCGGGCTGCCCAGACATTTGAACTGGCCGTTCACCATGACAGCCAGCCGAGTACAAAGCGCCTCGCACTCCTCCATACTGCAGAGAGAGAATGAGAAAGTTTGTTCTGATGTACCATGCTTCTTTTCATTTCCCATTCATATTTGCATTATTTGTGGCTTACCTGTGTGAGGTTATGATGATGGCTTTGCCAGACTCTCTGGTGCGTGTAATTGCGTCCCAAAGCAGCCGTCTGGCCACAGGGTCCATGCCAGTAGATGGCTCGTCCAGGAAGATCACAGGCGGCCCACCGATTAGAGCCATGCCTGCACTCAACTTCCTCTTATTGCCGCCACTGTGTAGGATCCAATAGACAACTTAGAATACACCGTAACAGCATATAACAAAAATTATTTAACTTCTGACATTCAGAGTCTTCCTGTTGCATCTGTTTCCTTACACTTCAATAAACTAGTCTATCATATTCACTCATGCATTTATCTAAACATCAATCCATCATATCTAACATTCCATACATGATATTAAACCATCATCTAACCATCAAACCTATCCATCATATCTAACATGATCTATATCAAATTTAACCAGCCATCATATATAGCCATGCATTCAAAATATCTCACATGATCTATATCAAATCTAGCTATACATTCATCATATTTAACCATCCATCATATCTAACCACCCACGAATCATATCTAACTATCCACAAATCATATCTAACTACACCCAAATCATACCTAACCACCCACAAATCACATCTATCCACGAATCATATCTAGCATCCATGAATCATATCTAACCACCCATGAATCATATCCAACCACCCATGAATCATATCTAACATCCATGAATCATATCTAACCACCCACGAATCATATCTATCCATTAATCATATCTAACAATCCAAAAATCATACCTAACCACCAATGAATCATATCTAACATCCATGAATCATATCTAACATCCACAAATCATATCTAACTATCCATTAATCATATCTAACAATTCAAAAATCATACCTAACCACCAATGAATCATATCTAACCATCCATGAATCATATCTAACAACCATGAATCATATCTAACATCCATGAATCATATCTAACATCCATGAATCATATCTAACCACCCACAAATCATATCTAACTATCCATTAATCATATCTAACAATCCAAAAATCATACCTAACCACCAATGAATCATATCTAACCATCCATGAATCATATCTAACCACCCACGAATCATATCTATCTAATCTATCTCGAATCATATCTAACTATCCATTAATCATATCTAACAATCCAAAAATCATACCTAACCACCAATGAATCATATCTAATCATCCACGAATCATATCTAACACCCACATATCATATCTAATAGGGCTGTGAATCTTTGGGTAGACAGCGAATCGATTAGATTCATAGGTTTTCGATTCGATTCAAGAACGATTTTTGCAAATTCAGAACGATTCAATTCAATTCGATTCACAATTAAATTTGATTCGATAAACGATTCGATTCTGCATTCTTTAAGGGCATTCACAGGATTATTTCAATGCTTCCCCTAAATTCTTTAAATGCTTAGTCAGGGGGCAAATTACACAGAAGCCTTTATGGTAGAGGAACAAAAGGGAGGAAAAAAATACACTTTTGTCCATTGTTAGATGTTAGTTTAATTATGCTATGGCATGACATGGCATATGTAGAAATTTATGTAAGCCAAGATTTTAAAAAAGAGCTTTAAAAGTATTATGTATAGCATTTTGTCACACCAGGGGTGTAGCCATCATTTCAGAAGTGACAGAAATGTCAAATACAATAATTTTATGTAGGCCTATGCATGTATTATTATTATTATTTTATATATATATATATAATATATATATATATGTATACATTTACAAGGAATTATTTTCTTATCTCTTACTTAGAATTTTCTATAAGAAATCAAATACACTGCTGGACAATAATCAATCATTTGTAATCTATAATTTTTTCCTAATGGCAATTTTATGATTGTTTTATATACTACAAACAATTATTTCAAGTTTCTGCACAGAATTAGGTAGAAAATATACTGTATGGTTTCTGTACTGTAATGAATGATGTCAATTAGCACTGCATCATTCATAAATTTTATTTATTTATTGTGTTTATTGTCTTAATGTCTCATCAGTTCATTCTGCTTTTTATACAGTTTAGCTGCAGATTCTGGCACGTCTATGAGCGCGAGATCACTTCTCTTTCAGTGCGAAAACTTCTTTATCTCATTTTCACTAAATAAAATGCTATAGTATTTAACTTCTCTCCATCGCGAATGATGATTCTGAAAGAAAACGCGCCCGATGTCTGTTTGCTATAGCAACGAACTCTACTTTCATGGATCTGATTATCAGATAAACCTCGCGCTCTTATTTCAAGGTTGTTGTTAATGCTGTGGTTATTTTAACAGTTTCCTTCGTACATTCGGTTCAACGACATTGTTAAAACTAATTTATCATTCAATGGAACTGTGCGTATGCTTTAGACACTTGAATTTTTGCTCTGTCCATGCAATAAATGTGCAGCCTTCGACTGCTCAGGTAATGTAGTCGTCGGTATGACCGAGAGCCATTGAAAAACTACAGAAAAAGTAGTACGTACTTCACTTCAGCATTACTGGCCACGAGTGTGGAGAGATCACACATCAGCTGCTCAAAAAATGTGTCAGTGAGACGAACTGAGCGCGAGCGCAATCCTGTGACAGTCACAGGCGGTAAATAGTGGAGTGCGTGAAGGAGAGATGCGAGGGCACGAACACTGTTCAAGGTCTCCATTAATTCGTGCTTGTAGTAATTTAATGTGTATATATTTTGAAAGCATTGAATTGCTATAGAAATCGCGATTCATTTGACTCTTAGCATTTTAAATCGATTACTGTCCGAAATCGACAATTCACGATTCAAAAATGTTTCAAGATTGATGCATACGTATCTTCAGGGTTTGTAATTGATGCATCGAGAAAACGAGTGAATCGTTACCCCCCTAATATCTAACCATCCACGAATCATATCTAACCATCCACGAATCATATCTAACAATCCACGAATCATATCTAACCACCCACGAATCATATCTAATTATTCACAAATCATATCTAACCACCCACAAATCATATTTAACCATCCACAAATCATAGCTAACCATCCACGAATCTTATGAATCATACCTAACCATCCACAAATCTAATCTAACCATCCATGAAGCATATCTAATATCCATAAATCATATCTCACTAGCCATTCATCATCATATCCAGCCACCCACAAATCATATCTGACTATCCATGAATCATATCATCTAATCCACAAATCATATCTAACCATCCATGAACTATATCTAACAATCCACAATTCATATCTGACCATCCACAAATCTTATCTAACCAGTCACGAATCTTATCTAACATCCATAAATCATATCTAACATCCATATATCATATGTCATTCAACCAGCCATTCATCATCATATCCAACCACCCACGAATCATATCTACACAGCCATGAAATATTTTCTGATTCATTCTTCATACATTACTCATATGTAACCCTCCATATTTCATAATTTGCCATCCATTCATTATCACATCTAACCACCTACAAATCATATTTAACCACCCATAAATCATATCGATCAGCCCAATCATATTTTACCATTCATTCCTCATCATATCTAACCACCCATTAAATATCTCTATCATAAACCAAAATCATCCTTCATTTCTAATCAACCATCAATCATACTTATCAATGCATTCATCACATCTAACCATCTATATATCATGTCTAACCCTCATCTAACCATCAAATCTAATCTTCCATCATTTCTAACCATATATTAATCATATCTAGCCACCCATCAATTATTTCTAACCATCCATCCTCTTTCTCTCAGGTCTCAGGTCTCATGTTTATACCTGTAGCTGCGGACAAGTTTGTCAGCATGAGGTTCGAGCAGCAGCGAACGCAGGATGTTTTCTACACAGGCTGTGACGTATTTCTCTGGGATGCCCCTCAGTCTGGCATACATGCTCAGGGTTTCCCGCCCTGTCATGTGATCTAGCAGCGCATCAAACTGGGGACAGTAGCCAATTCTCTGCTGCACCTGAAGTGAAGTCATATTTAGTACTGTTAATCCATTCACTTACATCAAATCTAAATATCTCTCAACTCTAAATATTAATTTGCCGTGTTAGGGATCTATTTTATATGAAATGGCAATGAGATAACAAAATGCTCAACCTTTTTCACATCTCGGAGGATGCTGTAGCCGTCAATAAAGGCATCTCCTGAAGATATGCTTTCATCGCCCGTCAACATTTTGAATGTCGTAGTCTTCCCTGCTCCATTAAATCCCAGTAAACCAAAGCACTCGCCCTTCCCAACGGCCAAAGACAAACGGTCCACTGCTAACAACGACTGCCCACCTGAATATACCTAGAGAAATACAACCACAGATTAAAAAAGGGAAAAAAGGAGCAAGGTAAAAACAATAAACTAAACACAAAACAATTTTGTCTAGTAACAAATTTGTTTGGTAAAATCCTATGACCAAATTTACATGGTATTTTCAGGGCATTGTGGCAATGAAATGCAAAACGTGCTAAGAGACTATATCACTTCCTGTTTAGCATATTTGCCAGTAACTCGGGTATTTCTGGAGAATGTTGTTGCATTCCAATATCCCATTTAGTGGATTCTGTGAGGCTTCCTTCCTAAACAATGTCCACAAAATAGCAGAAAGCCATAGAAAGGACCAGTTATAAAAAGGAGCGTGACCTTAGGCTAAATTATTCCAAAGCATGATTTTCTGCATGTTTTATGCACTTTGGCCAACAGATGGCACCACCCAACTGGTTTTGTATACTCAGGGCACTGTGGCAATGATACAGTGGAATTTGCATGTCAATGCATTAAAGCAATCCAAAATACTTTTTCAAAGAATATAAGTGGAAACTGAAACTTTGAGGTAATCACATTAACATACTGTAGTTTGGAGCCAAATAATACAATGTGAACTTCATACCTTGCTGAGCTCCTGTAGGATAAGTGGGCTGCCCACCATGGACTCAACCACTGGCTGGCACTCCAAAACTCTTTTTCTCTCCTCCGCAACATCTCTGTCCTCAGGTTGAAGAGCTTCTTCTGCCAACAGAAAAATCTGACAAAAAAAAAAAACACACCCACAGCTGTGATTGTTAGCATCCAAACCAATAAAACAGCAGCACCATATCCTGCCTTTTCTTTCCTCTCCCACCTTCTTGTGTCTCCTGCAGAGGTTGAGCAGCACATGGATGCACCGGAGCTCAATGAAGAAAAGCAGGGCGATGAAGACGACACCCTGCAGGAACATGGCCACCAGGAAGCGACCCACTCCAGGCTCATCCATGGAGAAGTAGTTTACTTGATATGTGATGTCTGCAGATGACCAGCAAAAATGCCAATGAGAATGACAACACAGTCCACATTAAGTGCGCCACATGATGCTAAACGCTCATGCTTGCACTGCTAGTTGCTTTTCAATGACGTCAGTCAATATTCAGAAGATTTACCAGCTAGCGGTGCTGGTCTTATAGCTCCATCGAGACACTAAACACAACGAATGATTTAATCATATTATACACACACAGGCTAACATATTACAGAAAAACAAAAATTCAATATCCAGGGCTTCACATTTGCATAGGCGAAGTGCCAGCACAATGCCAGAAACGGCACTGATCAGAACTGACCTAGCATGAGCTTGAACTGGATTTCAGTTCAGGTGGTTTTTCAGGGTGATTATCAGTCACTCACTGTAGTACTTGCAAATGTACTCTGCAAAGTCACTGGAGGTGCAGAAAGTGATGATCTCGTAGTTCTGATAGAACTCGCTGAAGGACATGCCCAAGCAGTAATTCGGGAAGATCAGGAAGACCTTATCCAGGAGGTGAGACAGGTCTACCAGCTTGAGCTCTGAGGGAAGACAACCACAAGTACGCAAAGTGTTTGAACAGACATTCTAGCAAGAATTGAAATGCAAGTGCGGACGTGCGTGCCTCACCAGGTATGGTCATGATGGTGACCGCGAGGAAGGTGGCTGTGCCACTGAGGATGTTGAAGATAGTGAGGCGCGTGTAAGCGGTGGCGGCCGAGGAGAACATGAAGCTGAGTAGGTACATGAGGGGAATCACCGCCCAGCCATACAGAAGCAGCAACAGCAGAACGTCCACCAGGTGGTTTTCAGCCACAAATGCTTTCACTGAAAACACCCGGAAGACCACCTAGAAATAACAAATCAGCCTCATATATCCAGGTTTTCCAAATGCCAGGTGTCGAGGCTCGAGGGAATCATCTTGAGTTTCAGCTTATTTCAAAGCATACTTTGTATTATTTTAAAGCATTTTAAGTAGTGCTGTCCAACGATTAATCGCGATTAATCACATCCAAAAAAAAAGTTTTTGTTAAAGGGGTCATATGATGTTGCTAATAATAACATTATTTTGTGTATTTGGTGTAATGAAATGTGTTTATGCAGTTTAAGGTTAAAAAAACACATTATTTTCCACATACTTGTGCTGTGATTGGCCAGCTATCCAGCGCATTGTGATTGGCTGAATACCTCAAGCGTGTGACGGAAATGTTATGCCCCTTACCATACTGTGATGCCGTGTCCTGGCACGACGAGACAAAAACATTAAAACCCATTATAAACGAGGCATTTGTTGCATCCAGTGGGGACATAATTACGGATTATAATGACTTATACTGTCTTTTTACGCATTGCGTTTCATCGAGCCGCATAAACATAAAACCATGTCTGCATTTATGATCGAAGAAATGACAAACTACAAACGCTACTCTACACTGCTCAAAACTCAGTGGGGACATAATTACGGATTATAATGACTTATACTGTCTTTTTACGCATTGCGTCTCATCGACCCGCATAAACATAAAACCATGTCTGCATTTATGATCGAAAAAATGACAAACTACAAACGCTACTCTACACTGCTCAAAACTCGCGTTTGAATCGTCAGTGGCAAATTTTTTAAATATAAAAAAACTTACTTACAGGCTGTGAGTCAGAACAGCTGGCATTGTAGTCTACTCTACCAGGATCAGGAAACAGTCCTCCGTAAAATGCGCTGGACACATCTGAATATTTGGGTTGAAATGTTCTGGAACAGTGTTGTAAATACAACTTAACCACTGATTTCTAGTCGTGTCCTCTTTTGGAAGGCCAGACTAAGTAGTTTCGCTTTCACAACGAAACACACGGCGGCCTAGCGTGAGCGGAGGCCGGTGAGCTTGAGAACGGCGGGCTTGCGGCAACCACATGTGACGACCCCAGGCTGGACTACGCTTCGTCCACGGTGAAAGCCGATCCGGTGATCTACAGCGCGAAGTTGATGTATTTCCTCAGCGACCAGCATGGATCAGCTCCAGGCATGACAAAGAGGATATCGTCCTCTTTTGGAAGACCAAACATTATGTAATCAGATTACTTTTTTCAAGTAACTAATAAAGTAATGCATTACTTTTTAATTTACAAGAAAATATCTGAGTTACTTTTTCAAATAACTTTCCCCAACACTGAACATTATATGTGTGTGGACTGTGTATATTTATTATGTACATATAAATACAAACACATGCATTTATCTATTTTAATCATTTGACAGCACTAATTTTAAGGCATTTTGCAGCACCCTTGCCTCCAGATTAAGAACCACTTACAAAACCTAGACAGTACATTTATACTGACCAGCATGAGCAGGCAGGGCAACAGGAAGTTGATGAGGTCCCACAGCAGGGCGGAGAACCAGAAGTTGGAAAGGTAGACACCGCTGACCTGCTGCACATGTTTGGACTTCACCGACCGCTCAGAGACGAGGAGCAGGGCGAAGGTGCTGGCTAATGATGCCATGCCATACATGAGGTTTATAGCGATGGCGAAGCCTGTCTGACCCCTGCAGAGACAAAAATGAGGATGAAAGACCATCTAAACGACTAGGTCTCCCAAGTGAACTTCACTTAGGGTTCTTGGTTTGTTCTGATGCCTTAGGCCAGTGGTTCTCAAACCTGTCCTGGAGTAAGTAACCCCTGCCCTACACATTTTGTATGTCTCCCTCATCTGTCACACCCGATTCATCTCATCAGCTCATTAGTGGAGACTGCAAGACCTGAAGTGGGTGTGTCAGATATAGGGAGACATACAAAATGTGCAGAGCTGGGGGTACTTCATGGAGAGGTTTGAGAACCCCTGCCTTATGATTTTTGCGATGCAGGAACACTGACAGAATCATGGAATCCAGTCATAAAAATAAAAATCAAGACATGATATGGACTAGTGTCTATGAATATTAAACTGCTATTTGAGTATGAAGTCTGTTCTAATGCATGTGTAAATGAGTGGCACGGTTTCATCTACTACACGTACTAAAGCACGCGTGATGTTCGTGGTGTTTTTAGCATCAGCCATCTCACTATATGAGGACATGAACACATGAGAGTCACTTTACCCGCAATTTAACCATTTCATTTGAGAAAACTATCGTCAGACACACTGAAACTCAAAGGTCTTCACTACAACCTGTCAAAATAAAACTTCAGTTTAACTTAAAGAAATTATGACATAAAATGTTTACTTCTCAAAACAATATATTAAAACATTAAGGAATAACATACAATATCACATTGTTTTTGCCCATATTTTAATTTAAACAGTAAACCTCTGTTGTGCAGCACTTTGCTAAAAATAAAACGGTTCGTAAAATGTTAATTTGATTACATTTTAAAAGATTAATTAAATTGTTCTAGTTTTATATTGACATTTAGCACTATCGAGAAACTTTCCTGATCCCGCCCCCCTCTCTCTCTCCCACTTCGCTTCCTGTCATCATACTGTCCTATCATGCTAATGCTAAAAATAAAAAAATAAATAAAAAAAGTTTAAGTTTTATGAATTAATTAGATTACCACCATTTTTATAATACATTTGTATTAAACCATAAATAAACAGAATCTAGGAAAATTTAAAAAGAATTTCTGAAAATAAATATAGTAAATAAATAAATGTTGTTTTATCTTGTTTTGTTGTTACATTAGAGTTAAAAGTTTTTACTCAAATGACATTAACAAACCCATCTGTAAAAACCTTCTAAATATAGAAAGATAAATATAGATTTAGTGTATTTAAGTCCTCTGAAGTAGAGATATGTATTATAAATAAAATCTACAGATGCAAACAGATGAAATGTAATGAAAAATAAACACTTGATGTTTTCTTTCCACTAGTATGGCATGTTTAGGAGGCAAAATATATATATAATATTAATAATGAACTTATTTTGCCAAAACAGTATTACCAAAAAAGAGAAATGTAATATGATTTTCCTAAATAAAAGAAAAAGTGACTACACAAAAGTCTGACACTCAGGAAATAAGCCATCATTTGGATCAAACCATAAAGCAATTGCATGAAAATTATTAAACATAAATATATGTCTGTAATTTATAGGAAAAAAAGTTTATCAATAAATACTAATCCCTACTGAGAAATAATTTAGGCTTTATTTTATTATATTATTAAATTTATGAAATAATTACATCTATTTTATTTGATGTTTATGCTAGAGAAAAAATTCACACAAATCAGGGTATTAAACTATATACTGTATATATGAAACATTCACTATTAACATTTAATTTGACCTAGTGAGATGGATGAACAACATTTTATGAAGGTAATTTTCAACAAGTTTCAAGCCCTATTTTGACATTCTTACATACAGGAAAACTTACAGTGGCATTTAGAGGTGCTAGAGAAATAATATACTAAATATACATGATAATATTTATGACCATGTGAATAGTGCTTGTGTATATATATAAGTCGTTGTCAGGATGCCAAGTCAAAAGGGTCCACAAGTCTCTATAATAT